GAGCCAATAGCTAACTGCCACCTTCTGCTTCTGGAAGTTGCTTGCTTGCTCACTTCTATAAGAACCCTAGTCTGTAAGCGTTCGGCGCGACTCTCATTTGCAGCCATTTTGGCACTCGTGTGTCTCCGGAGGCACCCCGAGAGTTCGCCCCTGCGCAGGTAAAAACTTTGAAACTTTGGCCAATAAAACACCTCTGACTACCCAGGAGTCTCCGACCCTTCTTGCTCGCAAGGACGGGATGTAACAGCAGACACAATATTTTTAAGCTGTACATTCTCCCCAAACTGATTTTCTGAGTAACTGTAATCTCAGTTGAAATCCCAGCAGGAATCTTTTCTGTAGAAATTGACAGGCTGATTCTAAAATTCAAGAGCGACATTAAAAGAGAACAAAGTTGGAGAACTTATACTACCTGATTTTGCTTAAGAGAGTATACACTGATTTAATACACTTGAGAGTAAAGATATACACTATTAAAAAGATTTTAAAATTTTAATTTTTATTGTATTTTTCCCCATTAACTTTTAGTCCACTGATCCTCCTATTAAAGCTTACATTTCCAAAGAGAGATTAAAAACAACTGTGTTGATACCTGAGTTTTTATGGAGATCAGAACTCCCCGAGTCCCTTCCCGAGGTCCTGGGCAGTCCTATTGTCAGGGCTGTGGGCCGCTCCGGGTGACAGACCACACAGCCCTATGAAGGCTACTTGGAAAATTCAGTCTCTGTGTGATGGTTTTACGTGAACTTGTCAGGGCCAGAAACAAATAGGTTTTGACTGTTCGTAGCACTTTTTTTTTCTTGAAATAAAGAACAAAATCAACCTTGAGAGAATATTCATGCTGAATGATAGACAAGATCATTTAAGTACCTTATTTGAAACTAGAGAGGGGCTTGAATTTCAGAACTTTCCCTGATTTTCACCAGTCACACTCCCTGATCCTAAGACCAACCTAGCAGTTAGCATGATTGGTCAGTGAATTTAAACCACATCATCGCACGACAAGGGCATACATAACTTTTAAAAGTCTGATTTTTTCATCACTTTATTTAAAAATCAATGCATTTCTTGAGTACAAATTTTGAAATAGGTTTACTGTTATGATGAATTTGCTAAACAGAATAAAAATGTGTATTATAAGATATTAATTATGTATTAAAGTGACCCAGTGACTGACCATAGCAGGCCAACAATTAATGTTTGACCAATAAGTGGGAAAAGAGACTTATCTAGTAATCTATACTAATCAAGACAGCATAGTGCTGGCATAAAGATATACAAGTAGATTAATAAAACAGAATAGTCAGCCCCCTTATATATTATATAATTTGTTATTTGATTATTTGATCAGTATCAAACGGTCTGACTCCATATCCTCCCCCCTGCTCAGTCCCGAGGCGACCTGCTTTCTGCCTGTACAGATTACTTTGCATCTTTAGCATTGCACATGCCTGAACTCATATGGCATTTATTCTCTCCGTCTTCCCCTTTTTTCCTACACTCAGCATAAGCATATTGAGATGCACTCATGTTGTTGCAAGTCTCAGTGAGTCGTTCCTGTTTATCGCTAAGCAGTGCTTCATTGTGAGAATGCACCATAAATGTCTATTTCCCATTGCCTGTTGATGGATTTTCAGTCGGTGACACAGCACATGAAGCTCCCATGGAATTCAGGTATGAGTCTTTGCACGGACATATGTTTTCGTTTTTCTTGCATAAATATCTAGGCATAAAATGGCTAGCTCATACAAAAGGTGCATGTTTAATTTTTTAAGAAGACGAGAGACTCTCTGCCGGAGTAATTTGTAACATTTTATGTTACCATCAGAAGCACATGAAATTTCTGGTTCCTCCACATCCTCACCAGTACTAGGCATGGCCAGTCTTTTTGATTTTAGACATTGCAACCGGCGTGGAGTGGTATTTCACACTCCGAGAAACTGAGTCTCAGAGAGATCATGTGACCTTTTTGATGTCATTCCACCCATAGGGGCAGGTCTGGCCTTTTCAGTCAGGTTTGCCTTACTCTAGCTGATCTCCCCATTGGCTTCTATGTTGTTTCTAGATGTCAGCAAGGCATCTGCCCCATTCTCTGATTGCTCTGTTGAGGCTGAAATAATTCTGTTTGAATAATTGCTCTTTTAGGTGAATTTACAACTGGCTGAAAGATTATAACCCAAGCATTAGTCAAAGATTTGGTGTCTGCCTGGAAGAAAAGGGGTTCCACCCGGAATACCATGTCTGGCTGGTTGGCAGTGGCTGCCCAGAGCCCTTTGTGGAGAAGAATTCCGAAGGCATATCTGGGCTCAGCAGGAACAGGCATGAAATCCAGTAGCGATTTCCAGTAGAGATTGAGGGAGGAGGGGTCAGGAGTGGCAGCAGAGTGACAAGGCGTGCCAAGTGTAATAGATGCTCTAAGACCTTGAACAAGTGACATGTCTTTCTGAGTGAACTGCCCAGTTCAATATTTTGCATAATGACTTTCGAGAAGATATTGAGGAGATGCTAATGAAGCCCATGCATGACAGAACTAGGAGAGAGAAGCAAGTATTTCAGATGTCAGACTCTAAATTAAATTATTTTAACAAACTGGGATGCAAGGCCTAAGTAAACAAAACAAAGAGTGAAAGTAAATTCCTATAACAAATGTTAAAATGATGATAGATTAAGAGTCTCAGAATGGGATTGGAGAGCTCTGTCTTAGTCCATATGAAAAATACTTAGGCTTTTATTCGTCCTATGGGCCAGTGAGATGACTTGACTGCATCAGTAACAGGAAATCATAAAGTCAAAGGACATACAAGTCCCATCAAGCTCCCTCCTTGCCCTGGTGCTGTCCAATAGAACTTTCTGTGACCGTGGAAATGTTCCTCATCTGCAAATCCAATGTGGTGGCTACTAGCCACTTGCGACTATCTATTGAGTCCTTGAAATTAGGTGGTGCAACTGAGGACTTGGATTTTTAATTATATTTAATTGTAATTCATTTAAATCTAAAGTAGCCATTCGTGGCTAGTGGCTCCCCTGTTAGACAACACACCCTTAGATAAATGGCCTTCATTTTGGGGCCCAAAGCATGTAGCTTTGTCGGTCAGCAGCTGTGAATTAGGATTTTAGAAAGCTGTTTAGCCTGGAAAAGGTTATTTGTGGAGAATAAGTTCTGTCTTCAAACATTCTCTAGTCTCTGTCTCCTAAAGAAGAGGGTCAGGCTTTCCTGGTGGCCCTGGAGGCCAGTGGCCAGGAGACCACAGCAGGGGGCCTCCCTCTGACGTGCCCACGAGCTCGTGGCACCTGGGTCCTCAGCTCCCTCCCCTGCAGAGTGAGGGCAGTCACCCGAATCATCGATAAAAGCCCTTCCAGCTCTAAAACCTGCATTTTTACATATGAAAATACAGTATTTTAAAAGTACTTTTACCTAATTGACATGAACTTAGAACAAGAGCATCTTCTCATAATAACTTTTGAAATTAATTATGGGAGAACATTTACCCGCCCTTTGGGTGTCTGTGAGGTCTTGCCAGGAAACCGGTGGCACACCCCGTGCAGATCATCAGGGAGAGGCTCACTCGTACAGGGAGTGAGTACAAAGTGGACACGGTCCAGGCAAACCTCGGAAAGATGGTGTTGTAGGTCACCACAAGCAACAGCATGGAGCTTTCACCCCCATACACAGCCAGCCCATGCGGACCTGCAGGGACAGCAAATGCCTTGGCCTCATCCATCCCCCACCCCCAGCCTCCTGCCAGAGCTTCCTGCTGGCCAGGTCCAAGTTAAAGCGAGAGCATGGGAGCAAGATGAAGAGCTGAGTCTGGATCTGGAGGCACAAAGAGATATCAGCACGGGCTGCCTGTCTTTGTCGGCTTGAGCTGCTATAACAAAAATACCACCAGCTAGGTGGCTTAACTAGCATACATTTGTTTCTCACCATGCTGGAAGCTCAGAAGTCCAAGATCAAGGTGCCAACCCAAGTGGTGTGTGGTGAGAGTCAGCTTCCTGGGTTCGTGGACAGCCACCTTCTTGCTGTGTCCTCCCATGACCAAGAGAGGGAGCTCCTGTCTCTTTCTGTGAGGGTTCCCAGCCTCTGGGCTGCAGACCAGGACTAGACTGGGTGCCTGTTAGGAACCGGGCTGCACAGCAGGAGGTGAGCTTGCATGTAAAGTGCTTGAGTCATTCCCAAACCATTCCCCCATGGAAAAACTGTCTTCCACAAAACCAGTCCCTGGTGCCAAAAAGGTTGGGGACCGCTCATATAAGGCACTAATATTCTGGGGGCTTCACCCTCCTGACTTCACACTAGTCCAGCTCCTGGCCTTTCTGTTTCTCTATCAACACACATTTCTTGCTGTCTTCGGCCATTTTTACGTCTCGGTCCTTCTACTCGGAAAGCAGCTCCTTCCAGCAGCCCAAGTGGGGATGCGGACAGTGATGAACCCACCTGTGCGTAGGGCGCAGCAGAAACCCAAGAGGGCAAAGAAAGAAACAGGCCACCTCCTTGGGGACCGTGTCTGTTTCCCGGCCTGTCTGCTGCACCAAGCAGCTCTGCTCCCTCCCCCTGACCTGTCTTTACGTGCCTCTGTTGCCACATTAAGATCATTCAATTCTCCAGTTAAGTCTCACCACCGCGTGGAGGCCTCCCAGCCCTAGGGCGGCTCCACGGGCCCAGACACCACTAACCACCACATCCTACTGGTCCCCTCCTCCTCATTTCTCAGGGCCTGCAATTATTTATTTGTGTGTTTACCTGTTTATGGCTTCTGTCCCCCACCCTTACAGGGGTGCCCTCTCTGACTGGAATGGCCCCGGATGTGACAGCTGGAACATGCGCGTGAGCAAGTTATTATTATTAAAGTTGAGCGGAGCAAGAGGTGCACATGTTCTCCAAAGATTTCAATCTTATTTCCCATTTGGGGGAGGATGACTCTGAGGCTTTTATCTTACAACACTTAGACATATCCTATCTAAACAAGTAAAAGACGGATGAGACATCACACAGTTTGTATTATTAGACTGTAGACTTTTATTAGAACAAGCATTTCTCATCGCTGTGAGCAACGCGCTAGAATTGATTAAAGCTAACTCCCGTTTTCTCAGCCACAGGATGGCCGCACAGAGAGAGAGAGAGAGAGAGAGAGCCCCTTACCCAGGGACAGGGTTAAAGAACAAAGAACTTCAGTGAATGATTCACTGAGGCTATAAATGTCTGCGAATTTTAAGGCACTGGCGGGCGCAGGGCATGTGAGGCGGGAGGGGGCTGGGAGGAAGGATTTCCAGCACACTGCAGCCGGCTGCAGCCGCCACCCTCCTTCCCCAGCTTCCAGAACAGGCTCCCAGACCCGCGAAAAGCCAATAGAGTGTATTCGTTGTATTTCTTCAGAACCCAAATGATCCAAAAAATCTCACAGGTCTCCTCCCACCACAACTAATTAGAAGGTAAATTCCATGTTATCAACCTGCCACAGCACTCCGGGTGAATTACACCTCCGCACACCAGATTTTAAGCATATGCCTTTGTGCTGTGTGCACTTCCAAAAGCCTCCGGAGTGAGCTACGAAAGAACTGCCCAATGCATTGAAAGTGTTTCTGCCGTGACTGCAAGGGCCAAAAATGTGGGGAGAGATTACTTTCTAATGCCCAGTGGACAGGACACTCCAGTGCCCCCGAGGCCGCAGTAGCCGTGGGGGTTCTTGCTCAGGTACTGCTGGTGGTAATCCTCTGCGTAGTAGAACGTCTGTTCACCCCGGATGTCGGTGGTGATCTGGCCATAGCCATGCTTGGACAGAACCTGTGGAGAGAAAGGCACTGTCAGGACCCGATCCTGGACAGAGATGGTTCCCAGAAGGAGGCAACAGGGATGTGGGGGGCTGGAGGGAGGCCCACACAGGTGGCTGAGATGTGTGGTGGGTCCTTGCTGCCCTCCAGCTGGGTTGCTTTGGGTAAGCGATAATGTCCTTGATTTCCCAGGGGAAACAGCAGGGACGCGTGGCTCCCAGCTGCCCTGGGAAGGATGGGTGCACTTGGCAGGGCTGCAGCAGGAGGGGATGCAGGGGCACTGGCAGGACGAGGCTGCAGCACCGCCCAGGGCTGCCCCCTCTGCCCCCAGCTCAGGGGCGGGCCCCCTGCCCACTCACAGGCAGGACAGAGGGTCCCTCACGTGCTCCCTGGGGTTCCACCATGCAGGGACCCTGCCAGGATGCCCTGAGGAGCAAAAGGTCATTTGGGGTCTGGGCTTTGTGACTCCAGGCCCGGGCTCCTGGGGAGTGAGGTGAGCAGAGGACGGTCCTGGGGGTGCGTGTGGGCTCACCACCACCCTCTGTGACCTACTTGAAGGCCTGGTGGCATCTGCTGCCAGGGAGAGAAACAGACACGTAAACACGGGTTGGGGGAGGAGAGCTGAGCTATTTGGGGCAGGAGACGGATTAAGAAACAGACACTGCTCCCCGTGGATCTTAGTGCGTTTCCTTTCCCTTTTGGCTTTCAGCTGTGCCCTAATTCCTCCCTGTTCCAGGCTGCTGGCAGCGTTTGAGCACAAGGCTACAGAGACTCGGCCCCGGTCTCACTGACCGCACTCTGGACAGGGGTGCAAGGTGGGGCCGAGGACTTGTTTCCATGGGGACCTGACCCATCTCTGACTGTCAGTTGGTCCACTCGAGAGGACGTCCTCACTCACATCTGCAGAGTGTCAAGACCCCAATCCTAATATTCAGCATGAATCACTGCCATGGCTTTTCCCCGAGAACTTTCCCCTTTCCCCTGAATCTCCACCTGGCCTCAGAGCCCGCACAAGACCGGTGGAGGATCTGACCAGCAGGCTGGGATCCGGCCAGGGACAGGATCCTCACCACGGCGGGTGGCTTGGACCTGCACGCTCGGAAGCAGCCAGTTTCCATACAGGGGTTAGAAATAACAACGAGGCGCCATTCTGATTTGAGTTTTGACACTTTTTGGTAAACTAGCAATTAGGGAGGGCTTACCATATGCTGCACTCTGCACAAAGACTTCACCATGTTAATTTTAGCCCCACAACAGCCGCCCAGAGGAAGCACTATTATTATCATCTGTCTTTACCAGTTTGTGTCAGATAGTGTGTCTCGTTCCCAGCATTCTCGCTGCGCCCAGCGATGGCGCAGACTGAAATCATACTGCCAGCAGCACTCGGGTGACACGCCACCCGTGGGAGAGGTGCACACGGAGCCCGGCGGGCTGGGTCAGAGGAGCAGCCGCTGTCCTGCAGGTGCAGCTGTGAGGGTGTGCACCAGTGGGTCCGGGGGCAGACCTGAGACTGCCAGCTGCTCCGGAGAACTGTCCACTCCCACGCTGTGGGCAACGAGTCAGCAGCAGTGATTTCTAGCGATTTCTGTAACTTCTGGACACCCTGAAGTCCGGGGTGCTCTTCCCTGGCCTTCCCTCCAACAGCCTTTCTAACGGTTCCGCAGGCAGGCGCCAAATTCCCTTTGTCGGGTCCACCTGGCTTGGAATCGCTCGCACACTTTCCACAGCTAGCACAGCGTTTGGTGCCAGCGTGGTTCGGAGGATGCAGAACCTCAGTGAGGACGAGAACCCAGGACAGGTCACTGTCCTGGTTGCAGTCAGTCAGGAATGACCTCACTGTGAAGGGCGACGGAGGCCAACACATTCTCTGATCACTAGTATCTGCTGTGAAGAAACGCCGCAGCAGGGAGGCTTGGGGACACCGGGGGCTGTGGCAGTGGGACATTCTGGTCAAGAGGGCAAGCGAGAGGTCTAGGGGCTGTCCAGGCCGAGAGCGTGTGGACAGAAGATGAGGCCAGGTGGGGACTTGGCGTGCCTGGCCCCAGTCCAGAGAGCCGGGGAATGTTCTGGGCTGATTTAAGATCGTCTCCTATTTTTGTAGCTGTGTCCAGATGCCAAATAAAAGGCTGGCTCCTGAGGTTTCTGGTTTACAAGTGGAGTTCACACCCACACTGCTGCGGGTGCACCCAGGGGGCGGGGTGGCAACAGGAGCGTTCTGCCTTCTGAGGTGACACCGGATGTTGACCTCCAAAGCCTCCCCGCCCCCCTCCGGCCACGCTGCATGGGGGCTTGCCCGCTGCGGAGGTCCTCCACCCTGCCCTGTCTCTGTCACCCTCCAGGCCAGGGCCGGCTCCTAGGTGTGCCCACCACGTGCTCACACGCCTCCTGCGCGCTCTGAGGGTGACCTCCTCACACTGCCCACAGACCTCTCTTTCTGAGATGGTCGTCCTCTGTGTTTGAAGTAGGATGGCCTCCCAGAAACGTGTCTACCTGAGGCAAGGAGGCCAGTGCCTGTGACACTACTGCCCAGGCTTCCCCTCAACCCCCCCTCCAGTCCAGCCCTCCCTGACCCCGAGCACCCAGCAGCCGGGAGGGGCAGCGTTGCCTTGGGGAGCGAGCAGTGGTCAGGGAGGTGTGACGGTGAGGCCCGGCAGTACAGGCCTCTGCCACAAGATGGCAGACAGTTCACTTTTATTTGAGAGGAAACACAAGGACAGCGAGAAAAACCCACGGAAACAGAGCTACGCAGCCCTCCTCTGCCTCCCCTTAGCCGGGGACCTCCTGCACAGCTCTTGTCCCTGTGGCAGACACCTGCCGGAGCCGCCCGGCTGTGGTCGGCATCGGCCCCTCCACACTGGCCGGCCAGCCCCCGGACCGAGGCCACCGCTCAGCACAGTGCTGGTGGCTCTGAAACCAAGGGACAGAACAAAAATGCACAAAAGAAACTGGACAGGAAAGGAGAGGAAGGAGGAAGATGGAAAATCCCATCTGGCCCCTATTCTTCCTCCTTCCCCACAGCCTGGCCCCTGAGTTCTCGCTTGCCCAGAGCCAGTCACTCCCCTCAGCCGCCTCCCAGGGCCCGTGGCTCAGACATCACAGTGGCTGCAGCTGCGAGGGACCCCAGCGCCTCCCTTTCTGTCCCTTTAGCTCTTGTCTGTGATGGTCAGTTCTGCAGTTGCCCTCCCTTCCACTGTGTGCGCCCTCCCTCACTGGTCAACCCCCAGGCCCAGCTCTGCCCAACCGTCTTTCACCTCCCCAGGCGCCAGGGCTGCCCCCCAGCGCCTCCCCCCCCCCCACTAGGCTCCTCACCACCCAGGACGGGCTCCCCAGGCGGAGCTCTCAGGGACCTCACGACCCCCCCCCCACTCTTCTGTCACCCATTCCTACTGACCCCGAAACAATGAAAGCTTCTGGTTTGTGGCATATTTTTTCTAGCTGCTTTTTAAAAATCCTTAACTGAGGATAAGCTTTCTTCATTTCAGAAAGAGACAAAGACATTGACATGAGAGATAAACATCAACCAATCGCCTTCCTGAACGCACCCTGACCAGGAACCGAACCCACATTCTTTTGGTGCATGTGAAGACACTCCAACCCAGCCACCTGCTCAGGGCTCTTGCTGACTTTTTAGAGGGTGTGCCACCTGGTACAAGAAATCTCTGGAAGGTCACCTTGTGAAATCGATCATGCTTTTCTCACAGACCCATGCCTCACCTTTTTCTTAGATGGCCCCAGGAAGCCTCCTATGCCTTTACTCTCTTATCGCTTTCTTTCCAGAAGCAGGTTTTCTATCTGTGAAATGGGCACAACACCTTCACTCATTGAGCTCTTATGAGAATCCAAGATGCAGCATAAAAAGCGCACAGCATCCTGGCATAGTTCAGCCACACAGTAGCATCGGCTGCCTTTCCCACCAACGCCCAGGCTGGAGGGGAGCTGGCCCACCCATCCTGCCCCCCTTCGTAGGCCCCCATCTACATCCCCACGCTCTCCCTGCTCCTGCAGCTGCAAAGCCAGTCTCTGCGGGGCAGGAAAAAGAGGTGGAGAGGTGGTCGCCAATAAGCTGGGGCAAAGCTCCCAGCCCCCCGACAGGCACCTGTAGCCCCAGCCACTCCTGCCGAACACCACGCAAGCCTGAGGGAGTGGCCGGGCCACTTCATTACAGATGCTCTGCCCGCTGAAGGGCCCTGGGCCCAAGCCAGCCTTCCAGGTCTGCTGGCGAGAAACCTTTCTTTTAATAAAATTAATGACCGCGTGGCCGTTCTGCTTACTGCAACCTGCTAACAAGCTTATTATTAGCTTTGCTGAGCTTTCCCCAGCACCCACGTGCACTCAGCCTCCTGCGTGGCGGTGATACACTCTGTGTCACCCTGAGAAGGCGCAGGGTGGCCGTCCCAGCAGAGCAGGTGATGGTGGAGCGTCAGCAGGTAACGTCAGGGGTGTGTGGAGGCCGGGAAGCCAGCCCTCCTGTCCGTCCCAAACTGCAGTGTCCCCGAGAGAGTTTCCCAAAGTGTGCGACTCCCTTCCACGGGAGGCTTTGGCTGACTGCAGAGGGGGAATTAGTATTCCTGTTTCTCAGTGGAGGGCAGTGGAGCCCAGGGAGAGGGGAGGCGCGTCCTGAGTCACTCTCCAGGAAGCTGCAGAGCCAGGAGAGACCAGAGCCCCCGCCCCCACTATTCCCACTGCTACTGTAAGACCCCTGTCCCAGGGAGCCAAATAAAGATGCTACCTCTCCCTTAGAGAGGGAGGGCTTATTAGTCCCAAACATCCCAGAGTTCTGGACATAGATCACCCTATATTTCGATCTCACCTGCCCCCCACCCCGGCTCACGCCCCTGGAATGCAAAATGTGTAACGTCTATTTCTCAGGTCATCTCATTGATTTTTTATTGTGGTTAAATACACATAACTCCAAATTTTTCATCTTAACCATTTTTAGGGCTACAGTTCAGTAGTGTGAAGTACCTACACATTGTTGTGTAACCACTCTCCAGAACGTCCAGCTTGCAAAAC